TTTTTTCATGAAAAAAGTGTGCCTTTGCACAAAAAAGGTTGAAAAACACTGCTCTGGAGTCCATTTAAGGTCACGCCGACTGCTTCAGTGACTCCATCCAGCCACTTCATTCTTTGTCATCCCCCTCTTCTCTTGCCCTCAATCTTTCCCAGGATGAGGCTCTTCTCCAGTGAGTCCTTCCTTCTCATTAGGTGGCCAAAGTATTCATCTTCAGAATCTGGTGTTCCAAAGAGCAATCAGGGTTGATTTTCTCTAGGACTGACCAGTTTGATCGCCTTGCAGTCCAAGGGACTCGCAGGAGTTTTCTCCCGCACCATAGTTCAAAGGCCTCCATTGTTTGGCACTCAGCTTTCCTTATGGTCCATCCTTCACAGCCATACCTTGCAACTGGGAAAACCATAACCTTGACTATAGACACTTTTGTTAGCAGGGTGATGTCTTTCCTTTTAAGGATGCTGTCTAGATTTGCCATGAGAAAATAAAAAATAAACATAAAATGGACTGACTGGAGGGGAATCAATGGTGGTTTTGGAGGAAAGAAAGGAGCAGGAAAAAAAATGAATCCTCTTGGTGTAAACCAGGGGTGTCCAAACGTGGGAATGTTAAGACTTATAGACTATAGAGTTGAAGTCCACAAGTCTTAATGTTCCCAAATTTGGACACCCCTGGTGTAAATCCATGTTTTTCAAAGACACTCAAATGCTCCTTTTCAGAGTCCAACCCGAAGCCCTCCATAGCCCTAGAGTCTTTTACAACTTTAAGATGGGTAGACCATTTCCCAGAATTCCCCAACCCCCTTGGGAATTCTGGGAGATGAAGCTGCTGAGGTTGGAAAACCCTCGGGTAAGCTCATTTTTAGGGACTTTATTTGCCTCCGGGTTTTAATTCCTTCGACTCCTCGACGGCTTCCGATTCCCTAATTTTTGTCTCCTGCTGCTCCCCGACCCCGAAGTGGAGAGGGAGGTTGTCTTGCACCCGTTCCCGGTTCTGTGCCTTTCTCTGCAGAGATTTCCCACCCCAGGCGCCCCTGGGTCCAGGAGCATCCCTCCGGCCTCGGAAGTGTGGGCTCTTTCGAGACTTCCCCTCGTCCCCTACCTCTTTGCGCCGCTTGGCTCGCCTCCTCCTCCCCCTCCCCTCCTTCCCTCCCTCCCCCCATTTCCCAGCCTGCGGCGGCGCTGGTTGGATGCGCTGCCGCGCAGGCGCAGTCCCGGGATCCCGGGCTCGTCCCGAGCAGAGGCTGCGGCTGCAGCGGCGCCCAGGTCCCGGTGCGCCTTTGGACGCGGCTCTTCCTCGCGCGCGCCCTCCTCCCTTCTCCCCGCTCCGGGGCGCCGCCCGCGTGGATGGGATGGAAGCGGGTCCCTCGGGAGCAGGTACCCTGCGAGGAGCCCGGCAAGGGCCAGCTCCGAGGGGCAGCAGCATGCAGCGGGGTTGGGGTTGGGGATGCGGGGGGGGATGCAATCGGTCCGGGCGACTCCGGGAGCCCGTGCAATATATAGGGGCCGAGGGGAGGGGGCTCTTTCCAGAGGAGCAAGAGCGACGCCGGGCTTTTGCAGAGGGGAGGGGGCTTCTGTGCTTTGGAACCCAGAGGGGAGGGGGCTTGGGGGCGCCAGGGGTGAGGGCCAGGCTTGCGGAGGGCACCAGGTTGGCCGAATAACAATGGAGGGGTGGGGGGTGAAAAAGGCTTCGGTGGGAGCCGGGGTGCAGCGTTTGGGAGAGGTCTGAAGGCGAGGCCCCAGCTGGACGTGAGGAGGGGGGGCAGGTTTGGGGGAGGGGGAGTCTCTTAAGTTCCAGCAGGCTGCCTGGGGTGTGGGGGAGGTTGCGAGCCAAGGAGGGGAAGGGGCTGGAGGGCAAGGGAGGCCTGCGAAGGGGAGGCCACGTGAATCTTGCAAAGTGGAGGGGGCTTTCCGAGTGTCATGGGTGGATGGGTAGATGGGTGAGATGCTCTGGGGCCGCTGGCCTTGTTGGAAGCAGAGGGATGGCTTGGACAGAGGAAGGGGCTCTCCCCAAAACTCAGAACTTGAATTTGGGGAAGGGGAGAGAAGCCCCTCTGATGGAAAGGGGGTTGGAGACTGGCTGAGATTGCAGATAATAGGGGGACTGGGGTGGGGAAGGATGAGGGGCTGGAAAAACCAAGTGGTGTGCAGAAACAAAATGAGGGGGGGGCGAGGGCCTTGAGATAAATCGGAAGAGATGAGGAGGAAGCAGGAATCAGAAAAATGAGTCTGGGGAGAATCGCTTTAGCTCTGTGGAAAGACTGGGGTAAGGGAGAGAGAGGTGGGCTCAGCCATTCCCCTTTGGTAGAACAGACTCTGGAAGCATCAGATTTTTGGGGGAGAGAGAATGTGTAGCGGTGCCTCTGAGTAGCAGGTAATGCAAGGAGACAAGGTTTATGGGGCTGTTTTGTGGAAGTAGGGTGCAACCCAGACATCCAGACTGTGGACAAACTTGGATGAGGAGACTAAGTCTTGGCTGGTTAGGTGTGTTTGAGAGAGTAAACAACCCGTGGATAAGACACCTTGTTACTCATCCGTCCTTCTGTGTGGTGGGATGAAAGAGAATTTCCCCAGTTTTTTTGGGGGGTGGTGGTGGTGTCCCAAGGAGTTGTGGCTCCCTTCACATGTCCCACTGGAGAAGGGTACATCTCTTTGCATGGGACATCATGGCCACCACTGGGACTGGGTGACCCGTGTCCCTTCTCACCTCCCATCTGCCACTAGGTCACAAGGTCCAGGCTCCTAAGCCAAATGGACTTGACATTCAACCAAGCGAGGATGAAATTTATTATGGGATGCCTTAACGTGGAGGATGACCCCCAGCCCCGCTGTAGCTCCTAACCCGGTCTTAGCAGCCTATGTTTGCCTTCATACAGCAGTTTTAGTATGTTGTGGGGATCCAGTCTAGTAAGTGGGGGTGCCACTTTTTTTGAAACTAACATCCCCCATCTGAAATTTTCTGAAAAGTTGGGACTGTAGACCATCAGCTTGGGGAGTCCCTGAGATTGTTACTTCCAAAACATCAGTGGGTACATGGCGGACAGCAGTTTTCAAGGAGGGAACCAAGGTGGGTAAGTGAGAAGACAGAGAGTGACTCACTTTTGGAGGGTCTTTCTGGGAGAAGTAGACGTTTGAAAGGAAGGAGGCACCATAGTTCCTTGAAGGTTCGCTGGGGAAATAACAGAAAGGCTTTGATGTCCAACTTGCATCAGAGCTGTGACATGTATCTGAAAGGGGTATTTGTTGTTAGTTGCGAAGTCGTGTCCAGCCCATCGTGACCCCGTGGACAATATTCCTTCAGGCCTTCCTGTCCTCTACCATCCTCTGGAGTCTATTTAAGCTCATGCCAACTGCTTTGGTGACTCCATCCAGCCACCTCATTCTCTGCCGTCCCCTTCTTCTTTTGCCCTCCATCGTTCCCAGCATTCTTACATTGCTATGGCGTATAGATCCTTACAGCATCGGACTTTCCTTTCACCACTAGATACATCCACAGCTGAGCATCCTTTCGGCTTTGGCCCAATCCCTTCACTCTTTCTGGTGCTACTACTACTAGTAGCCCTCTGCTCTTCTCCAGTGGCATATGGGACACCTTCTGACCTGAGGGGCTCATCTTCCGGCATCATATCTTTTTGGCTTGTGGTACTGTCCGTGGGGTTTTCGTGGCAAAGATAAAGTTGCCATTTCCTTCTCCAGTGGATCAGGTTTTCTCAGAGCTCTGTGCTATGACCTGTCCGTCTTGGGTGGCCGTGCACGGCATAGCTTCATTGAGCTACGCAAACCCCTCCGCCCACGACAAGGCAGTAATCCATGAAAGGGTGAAAGAGGTATGCAGACGGGTAAAGGTTCCTGTTACGACAAGGGGTGCCAAGGGCAGCTAAGCTGGTTGCCTTCTCTTCCTCCCTTCCCCCCTTCCCAAGTAGAGCAAAGGGGTTTGCAACTCTCCTTGTAAGGTGTGTGTGAGTAAAGGCAACAGAAAGCAATTGTGATGGAAAGTAACTGTGCTTTAAGGGGGAAAGGGGGGGGGGGACACAGGGCAGGAGCTGGGCCAGGGCAGTGGGCTTTTGGTTTTCTTTGTGTGCCCAAGCCTGACCTCCAGGGTCATAGGAGTATTTCTTTTTTATCGCCTCTTTAAAAAATGCAACCCACGTCCTCCAGATTTCCTTTAAAGAAACTCTGTCCCCAGCATTTCCAAGCTGATGAGGAGAAGATAAGAGCATGAGGTGCTTTTTGAAACTTTCTCAGAAGAGGGATTTTAATTGTCTGTGGAAATTCTCAGTCATCCAGGCTGTTCCAAAGGTGCTTTTCTAGAAGACAACGGGACTTTCTGGGTTTTTCTTCCTTTGAAAATGTTTTACATCTCATCCAAGGGGCTTATTCAGCTCTTCAGAAAGGCACCTTTGAGTTAATCGTCAGGGATTCAAACTATGCATAGTCCTTAGGCTCTTTGCGTATATTGGGGAGGTTTTGAGAAAGTTGTGAGAAATTTCCCAGTGACTTTGGGATTTTCAATCTCCTTGTCTTTACTAGAGGCCAATTGGGATGGTGATGCGCCGAGGGAGTGATGCGCTGTACTAGGTCATAATGCTAGTTGGTTAGTCCTGGCTTAATGTGCTATGTAATGGCAACTCTAGTGGTTGTAAGCTATTGTGGGAACTTTTGCTAATTTAGCTTTATAAACTTATTTGTGGCTTAAAGCAAAGATCTCCAGCCGTGGCAACTTTAAGACTTGTGGAGTTCAATTGCCAGAATTCCCCAATTGTAGGAGTTAAAAGTCCACAAGCCTTAAAGTTACCAATGTTGGGAACCCCCCACCCCCCTTCGGGCTTTAGAGTACTATTTGTGGGGCTTGGGCAGTGGTGGCTTAGAAAGCAAATCCTGGTGAAAGTGAAGCGAACGATGCTACCCATTGTGGTTTCTAAATATGGTTTTTTGCTTAGTGTGGTGTGTGAACTAGGGCACTCTTAACAGCTCTGCTTTTGAAAGCTTTCAGCTGCTCAGCAAATTATGTAAATGTGTCTTGCATTTCAAGCACAAACAATAGTATTGTGGTACTTTAAGAATTAGGATTAATGTGGTCCATGCATTGTACTACTGCATTATACATGATGGTTTGGTTACATGGATTAAAGTGTGCTTAGCCATTGTTACTTTACGTGTGGTACACCTAACTGATTACTTCTCATGCAATAAACTATTCTCAAGCCCATAACGGCTTGGAATCAGTTGTGGGCCATAGATGCCTTCCCAAAAGTGTTGGATTACAGTACCCAGCATTTCCTGTTGCTGCTACCCACTCTTGCTAGGGAGGATGGGAGATGCTATTCTAAGATACACAGAAGGCAGGAGGGTTAAGAATGATATATGTAATATTCTGAATCTTTACAGTATTACAACTTCCTAAAATGAATGTGTGTACCATCCCTTCAGGAGTAAATGCACAGTTTCATTGGGATTAGCATGGGGCAAGAAATAAATAACCTATTTTCAGACTATAAAATGCACCAAAGTATAAGACTCACCATGATTTTGAAGAGGTAAATTTTAAAAAAAAGATTTCCCCCTCTGCATGCCTCATTTTTTTGCAAAAAAAAAGGGGGGATGCAGAGCTTTGGGAGACTTGTAG